CTCGGGTCTCCGACGGAACTCCTTCACGGCAAAGAGTTTCTCGCCGCCCGCGCCAGCGACCTTCTTATGCGATATCCTCACAATTCCAAACGCACCCCTTCCAACCACTTCGTGGCACTTGCCGTACTTCTCGGTCAGAGTAGGAGTGGCATTGGGGCCACCTTTCTTGTCATTGGCCTCTTCCTTTTCCTGGCGCAGAGTATCAACCCAATTAGAGACCAAGGAAAGGTCGTGATCAGGCGCATCCTGCTTCTTGCCAATGATGGTGCGCCACATATCGGACAACTTCTCCTGCCTGCGACTTGACTTGAGGTGATGCTCATGGCCGCCAGGGGCAGCAGGATTCAACATGAATCGCTGCGTGAGCTCCTTTGGCTTGGTGACCTTGGTGCTGCCCTGGTCAGAGACAGATTCCTTGCGGGACATGGGCGTGGCAGTTCCACTGGTGACGCTACTGTTGTTATTGTTGAACGAGGAGCCTCGGGGCCGGTTTGCAGAATCGCTGCCGTTCGGGGCTGGACTTGCAGGTTTCGACATGTCTTTACTGGAGAACATGCGGGTCAATCGATCCTTGACGGAGGTCTTCTCTGCGGTCGGGGGCTTCAACGTCGAGTCGCCGTTCTGTGTAGGAGTATGTCCATTGGGGACGGAGCCTGCGTCAGAGGCCAGGGCCGGTGATTTGGTGCCGCCATCATGGGACTTGAGAGATGAAGGCTTCGAGCTCGGGGTCGATGCAGGCCGGTTGGTTTCGCTCAACGTTGTCGTCGGCATTTTCGTGCTGTCCTTTGTGGACAATTGTCTCTGCGGTTAATTTAGAGTGATCGGGGATGAGGCGAGGTGGCGAGGAATAATTTATAATAATAAAAAACAAAGGTTCGGGTCGAGTCGAAACAATGCGGTCGGTTGTATAGGAGCGTGCCCTCAATGCGAAGAAAGGCAATGTCTAACCTGAAGACTGGCGTTCAACCGGGAAAGAAAGGAAAAGGAATCGCAGTCAGCGGCGAGCCAGACACGGCTCAGCGCAGCAGGGCTGGCGCTGACTCGGGAAAAGGGTAGACGTTGTGATATACAGGTGCGGTGTGTTCTATGCGAGGCGGCAGTCTTTAGGAACTCCCAGTCGCTCACGGGCTGGGTTTTTGAAGTCGCGGGGGAGCGACCGGGCACCGAGAGCACAGACGAAGAACAGTGGGTGGCGCACTAGGACTAGGGTGACGAGCAGCCCTGTGACGACTGCGCAAAAGCCAAAGTTTTAGGAGGGTCGCTGAGCCCTGTAGCACACTCCCCGTTCTGTGGAGGGTACCTGGGCTGGTACACAGCAGGGGGGTGGTGGTAGCAGGTGGTCGGTCCCGGTGCAACCCACTGGAGGGGTCGGGTTGGTTCCCTGGCCCAGATCGTGAAAGGCAGAGGAACCCAGCAGCAAGGGCAACCCTTTCTGGGCCCTTTTCGTGTGTCGCTGATGTCCTGTGCGCCTCTGCTGGGTCGGTGGGGAACGACGAGATGAGCCTCACGGAGACGGTGATTGGTAAGACAGGGCGCCGGAGTAGGGGGAGAGAAGAGAATCGAAGGCGAAGAGGGAGGAAGGAGAGAAAATATTGCAAAGGCTGGCTGGCTGGCTGGTTGGTAATTTTAGGACGGCCTGAGGGAATTCGGCGCAAGGGCGACGAGAATATTAGAAAGCGGCTTATTAGGTTAGTGGTGGCCGTAGCAGGAGGCGAGACCGGGCGATGAGTTCAGTAGATCTGGGCGGGCTGGGCTGGGAGAGAGGGCGAGGAGGGTTAAATGCTGGTTTTGCCCAGGTAGCGCTTTACGTACGGGAACGAGGCCAGGAATAGGGTAAAGGCTCTCGCCAGCGGATGATGCTGGCTGCAGGTACCGGTGCAGTACTTGGTCATACGCTACAGGCTCGCCTCACCCCGCCAGTAACTTGCAAGTCGCGGGGTGTGGTGGGGAAGGGCTAGGAGGCAGCCGGCGGGATTCCCTTCCCTCAGCTCCAGTGCATGCGAATACTTCATTAAACAGGTAGGTAAGAGGTGGTAGTTTGCCAGGTATGTATGCACGCCGCATGAGAGGTGCGTCACCTTGCACTTTGGCGACGCAGGCCGGTGCAGGCCAAGCCAGCAGCCGGCAGTTCAGCAGCAACATCATGTCTCGGATGAGAAGGGTGGGGAGCGAGCGGAGGATGAGACGGAAGATGTTGTCGAGGGCATGGTTCTGAAAACAGTGGTGACCTGGTCCGCCAGGTACCTGTGCTGCAATGCCGCACACCATCCGCCTGCTCGGATGTCTGTAGCCTGAAGCTGCTTGGCACCGACAAATACAGGGCCCTTAGTAATCCAATACCTACAAGGCCTTTCCGGATTCAAAGCTACATGCCATCACCCTCGGCCGCGGCAGCTCGGTACAGGTCTGGGCCAGCTAGCCGCAACAGAAAGGGAGGTATATATTCTGGTTGCTCTGTAACTCGACGCGTACCTACTCGTGTAGGGTAGGTGAGGAAAATCCTTGCGATTGCAGTACTGTACAACGGCATCTTTCCCTCGGCGCGCGGGTTCGTTATCTCGAAGCAGTTACAATGGGGACATGTGGCAATGGGTCTTTTTTATTCCCCGCAGCAGGTCTGCTGGGCAAATTAGCGGCCGCCTGGCTCTTCTACGCAGTACTTTCTAAGCAATTGCTGGATGCAGGACGTCATGTTCGTTGCACGTTGGCCGACAGCGACCTACATGCTGTCAACGAGGCGAAATGGAAATTACCTCGTGGCTAGACATGTACAATGACCTTCCTCCGTTACTCCACAAACTCCATAAACAGAAAGGCGCGGTTGCACGAGTCTGCTCTCTTTGGCAATCATGGCTGCGCACGAAAAAAATAGAAAAAAGAAAGGAAAGCAGAAAATACTAATTTGGGGCGGGGGGAGGGGCGGGTGGCAGGTGAGGTGTGAGACGATGCGCAACAGTGTCTGTGCTGTGCATCGCATTCACATACATGCATACACTTTCTCGCAGAACACCTGTCATATATGTATGCTCATGTCGGCGCATTCCTCTCAGGGCCGGCTAAGATGCCGGACCAAGCGAGGGGACAAAAGAGGGCAGTCGTGGTACTTGCTTGCTGGGCTGTCTGGATCGGACCATCAGCACGACATCGACAGAGGTGTGAGTTGCTGGCACGACACATGTACCAGCGGAGAGGGGCAGAAAATTTCCCGCCTCTGGGTGGTGCGCAGCGGTCTAGATTGCAAAGGGCATTCTTCCCGCTCGCACGCGACGAGACTTTGACTCTCAACGCTTCGAGAATGGTTTGGTCAGTAGGGGCTGCATGCCCCTGTTGCCGTCGGCGTGGATGGTATGTATTTGGCATAGACATACATATGAATGCCTGCACGAGCATGCAGTGTCTGGTGGCTTTATACGCATCATGCAGCAGCGCATACACAGAGAGGCCAATGGTCTGACCCACCATCCTGGGTCTATCCCTTGCTCTCTCATGTTCGCTTGTTGAGCTGTTCCTCTTCCTCTGAGCCGGTTGTCAAACATTGTCGCCATCTGTGGCTTCGGTACGTAATTGTAGTAAGTCAGCGAAGAGGTTGGAGACAACGGTTCACAGCTCGGTGAAACCGGCAAGTGGGCGGTTGAGTCTGCAACACTCCCCGTATAATTATCACCTACACATCCATGATGTTCCTCTCACTTATAGTACTACCTACCGTCTGCTGGTCTACCCGGGACCGACCAAACTCAAAGTGACTCTATTCTGGGTTTCTCCCCTCTCCTTTTAAACTTTCTCCCTGCCACTTCTATTTTTGATCGTGGGATTGGTAAGCAGTATATTTTCAAGACCCTATTTTTAATGTTAAACCCAGACAGTCGGAGGTGTGCCTGGCTCAAGGGCCGATATCAGGACAAACGAACCTTTGTCCCTGGTCAGATTCCATTAACCAACCTCAAAAATGACAACTCCTGTGTACTCTGTCTCAACAAACTGATTCACTCCACCAGACACGAAAATTCTCAGCGGCCAATTACCTCGCACCGATAGACAACTCACGGACCAACGCTGAATCAGCGGTCAATCACATCATCAAACCAGAGCGTATCAACAGCAATTGATGTATCGTATCTACCGTTGCAACGTCTCCTCACATCGGCAGCCTCACCGCCAAGCCACTTGGACCCCTCCTCTACTCTCCCGCCAAGCATGGCCAAGCAACGGGAAACGCGTCACTACGTAGGCGTATAGGGGACGTTGTGTAAGGGGAATAGATGCCAAGAACGAGAAAAAAAAAGCAAGGCGGGAGAACCAGAGCAACACGCATCTAGGATACATGGCCCCTCCTTAATCACCCTTCCCGAATGAACCATAATATAGCTCTACCGACATATGATAACAAGTCATGCATGCCTAGTGATACACACACACACACACGCTGACTTGTACATGTGTGTGGTGGTGCCGCACATCGCATCTGTAACTCGGGACGCTCCGCAATTGAATTGCATATCCGCCGCCAAGACGTGTCTACCAAGGAGCCAGCCTGTAGGGCAGTGGATCTTGGCGTACCGTCTTGCGTACCATTGCTATCATTACTAGGAGCGGAACGGGACGCGCCAAGAAAGCTCGCGGGCGCCTGATGTGGCCTCCTGTTTGCCCCGGTGGCATATGCAAGTGAATCTACATGTGCACACAGGCAATCTGCAAAACACCAAAGGGTATCGATACCTCAACAGAAAAAAAAGGGTTGTCAGCCGTGACCCATCCATCCCTGATCCGAGTTTGTTGTCCAGCACGGCGGGCGTTGATCTGGTTTCGAATCTCACACCGCAAATGTCCTCTGTCACATCCTCGACCCAGATAAGATACCTCGCAGCGGCCAATGCTCCAGCCCTGTGCTCACAACGTAAGACCCGATTTGTCCATTGATTGCATGCCCATCACCCCTTTTGATTGCATATGCCCGCTCGCCTATTTGTGCTTGGCACCGCTCGGCTCAGCTAGCCTTGTTACCGCGGCGTGGTTGCATTAGACCCATCGATCAGGTCTCCGAGCTCCTTGAGCTGGTCCTTCTCCTTCACAAATCTGGTAAGGTACAGCGTCGGCTTATTTGTCGCACTCGACTTCAGCCGCTCCTCCACGGCCGCCTGGTATGCCCGATCGTAGACATTGTAATCTACTGCCGTAGGTGAGTCGGCCACAACGTAGGGGCTGGGCTCGTCCATGTTGAAATCATCCCGAGAGCCTGTCCCGATCCCCAAGAAGAGCGGCTCCTGGTTACTTACATCGCGGTCGGGGGGTCTGCTATCATCGGTCTCGCGCTTGAGGAACTTGCGACGCTGTGCAATCAGTGCCTCAATCTCGGCCGTCTCGACTGCCCGTCGATGTGACTCTGCTGAATCTTGCCCCCCTTCGGATTCTGCCTCTCGCGCTTTCGCTTCTGCTAGTTTTCTAGCTTTGATGGTTTTAAACTTGTGCAGTACCTTCATGACACAGAGCAGATGGTTCATCTTCCTTGTGAAGGCATGGTTGAGTTCCAGTTCGTTTGGCGGACCAACTACGTGCTGGCAGTTTTCCTCTGCCGGTAACAATAGATCGGTCCCGTCTCGAGTAACCCATGGATGTTCCTATTATTCCACTTAGTAACATGTTGGCTGCCATTGTAGGTCGCCACTTACCCTGAGCTCCGGCATTGTGATTCTCTTCTCAGGATCCTTTTCGAGCACTCTCTTGAAGAGATCAACAAGGACCGGATTCTCGTCCGCCGGGATCTTGGGCTCCTTAGACTTGATCGCATCGTACATCTCCATCATGCTCTCTGTATGGAACGGGATCGAGCCATACTTGAGGCAGTAGAGTGATACTCCCATTGACCAAATATCGGCAGCTGTGCCAGAGACATCCCCGTGCTTGCCACAGAGCTCCGGGGGTAAGAACGCAGGCGAGCCTGCGGACTTGGCGGTTCGCATAGGGCCAGGCTTTTCGAACATCTGAGAGACGCCGAAATCTACCACCTTGAGGACATCATCCTCAGAGAGCAAAAGGTTATCTGGCTTGATATCTCTGTGGATGACTCCTTGAGCGTGCACTTGGTGACGTTAGTCCTCGTTTCTACCGTTTGTTGGCCTTGGGGGAAAAGGGGCGATGGGACGCACAGTATTCGATGCCCAGAACCAAATCACGAAACAGGTGGCGGCAGGTTTCCTCAGAATATGGCTTCGCCGTCTCGTCCAGACCGACCTGCATCACGACACCCTTTTTGCACATCTCCATGACCATGTACAGCGAGTCCTCCTCGGGATCATCGAGGACTTCGATGAGCTGAACCAGATTGGGATGGTTCAACTTCTTCATAATGGCAACCTCCTCCCGGATCAGATAGAGTGCGTCGTTCTGCTCAGCCGTCCGCATACTGCTACCATGAGCTTCCAGATTGCTGTTAGGAACCCGCCTGAATGGGCGATGAGGACCCTGGCGGAGGATGTTGGACTGCGCACGCTTTCGCAGCCGGACCTTGGAAAACTCCTTGATGGCCTTTGTGAAGGGGATCTGGTTAGTGAATGTACTTTACTGCGTCAAATGGCATGGCTTGGCCATTGAAGACCTGTAGAACTTACGTATTCGGTGCCAAACTGATCCGTCCCAACATGAACTGATCCGTAAGACCCACGACCTATCTCATCCTGGATTACATACTGGTTAATCCTATGGTGAGTTCTGCCATCAGACTCGTCACTCAGAATTTCCACATGGGCATCAAGCGTCTCCTGTTTTTCATATTAGTTTCACCCAAAGAATTTCGATAAATAGCTAAGTATGGAAGGAAGGAGGAGGAGTCGCATCTTACCTTGACCTCACGATGAGCACTCGGAGTGCGCTTGTGATGTCTCATAGGGCTGGCATCTTTCGGTTCAGCATGAGAATCATACCTGAGGGTAGAGAGACCAGTGAGCTTCCGGATTGAGACAGGTTTAATACGAGACGATGAGTAGAGGTAGGGGATGTGGCCCCCCTTAGAGCCTCCCCCATATAGATGCACCTACTCATTGTGTGGGAACACGGGACGAGACCCTGCACCAAGATCGTCATGGTTGTCCACTGTAACCTGTAGAGACTGGAAGGCTTCCGATACGACGGAAGCGTCTTGCTTCGCACCGGCGGCGTCCACGGACTCGGCCATTGCGAAGGATCACCGTGCAGGTCAGGGCGTTTCGACAGCCCTTTATTCCTCACGTGGGGGCCTGGGAGGAGGAGGATGTCTGAAGCAACGGCGTCTATCCAGTCCTTGGATAGCTCCTAGACTCGTAGTAGAGAGCAAGACGATGGGACGGTTCTCGGGGGACTCTGACCTGCCCACGCAACAATGGCAGAGGCGGTAGATGCACTGGTCCTAGAGGAACTGCCGCTAGAAAGGAGGTGAGCTGACGGCCAAGCCTGAGGTGATTGCCTCGTTAGGCTGCATGGAAACTTATACTCGACGGAGGGGGAGCTGAGGACCCCGCCATGGATTTGTATTGCGTGGTGCTCTACCAAATATAGGTACGCTGAAGCGCTGGCCAGGCCCCTATGGACCTCTAATGCCCCGCAGGACGGGGAACAAAGCCAGGGCAGCTCCAGCTCAACCAACAGGGCACTTAGTATTGTGATAGGGCAGCACTAATACCACCTTATCCATGTACCCAACATGCCTGGATGGAGCTGTGGCACGGGCCCGCTCCGTGGCTGCCAACCCCATCAACTAACCGTCGACATCTAGGAACAGCATCACCACATCCGTCGTAGATTCCATGCTGTCGAGATCTACACCCTCAATATCTCCAGCCCCAAACCGACCAACTTGTGGGAACTCCGGCGCATCTAAGTCGAGGCCACTTAGACCATCTACATCAAAGTTCCGAATTGAACCAAATTCCCGCCACCGTCCAATTACTCCCCCAACACCTCTGCCAACATGACCGTCTACTCCTTCTACATATTTGACCGGCACAGTAAGGCCAATCCCCCCTTCCAGCCACTGCCCGGAAGCAACCATCCCTAACCACGCGTGCGCCCTGCGACAGCCGAATGCATCTACATGAAATCATGGCTCCCGACGACGACCGACCGCCCCGCGAGCTCCCAGACGACGTCCTCGGACGACGCCAAGCTCATCTTCGGCACCGTCTTCTCCCTGCGCAACATGATTCGCAAGCTCGGCGGCGACGACGACGCCTTCATCAGCTTCAAGACGGCCAACTACAAGCTGCACTACTACGAGACCCCCTCCAACCTGCGCTTCGTCCTCCTCACCGACACGGGGACCCTGAGCATGCGCAACGTCCTTCACCAGATATACATTAACCTCTGGGTAGAATATGGTAGGTGGATTAAACTTTTTTTTTTTAAATCGAAAAACATCGGCGATTTAGATCTTGTTGGATCTGGCTATATCCGCTCCGGCCGTAACCCCTGAAAAGGAGTTCCGAAGTCAAGGACACCCAGAAATCCTCTCTTTGCCTTTGAGGAAAGTTGACAGGCTGGCTGACATGGACGGATAGTTGTCAAGAACCCCCTCTCGCCGGTCGAGCACAAAGGTGGTGAAGGTGTGAAGAATGAGCTGTTCGAGCTTGGTCTGGACCAATTCATCCGAGGCCTTATGTGAACCACTCCAGAGGACACCTTCACGGATAGTGTTCTGGGCGGAATCTCCCTGTTGGCTGCTCATGACGCGCGCCGGCGCAACATACTTTCAATTACCAGCGCCACGTCGCTCTCTCGTGGCAACAACATTACGGGAGACACGACACCTCGAGGCGAAGCTGCTGCGTCGCCCGTTGACCCTGGACGATTGTCTCTCAGGGCCGCGGTTGGCTGTTCTTCAAGGAGCCGCGCCTTCGTGCAGCGGCGAGGCTGCACACTGAAGAGCGTGCCTGCCCATATAGGCCTATTGAAAACTCTCGAGCTCATCATCCTCGAGCGTGGGGATCTGTGGACTCGATGCGCAGAGCCTACCTAGGCTGCAGACACAAGGGGTGGCGTCACAACAAGAATGAGTGTTAGATATTGCACGGCACGTTAAATATCGGTCATAACGCGCCCAACCACAACGATAATACTATTGATACCCATTGCCTGGCTTTGCGTAGCCACCTATGCCTTCCTATCGTATGCTTTCACTCTAATCTTACAATGCTCTCTGTAATCCCACAATATGAAATGTGTATTTGCCAGGGAAAGATGAATTAAATAAATAAGAAATATCCAGGAAAAGAAGAGGGAAAAGCCAGTGACCCAGATGACGCTCCTCTAACTCTAGCCCATTGACGGAATGAATTATTATCTATGGAAAAGGCGGGAGATGTCTCACGGCTTGGCTACCGCACGCTCCCAAGCACTTTCCAGGCCGCTCTGTGGCTCAACCACGAAAATGCTGGACTCTCCGTTCTTCTGTACGGGCTCCTCAGGCCAGTCGACATGGACTGCGCTGTCCATCATGCCATCTTCCTGGACCTCGTTCTGCCAGTTGCTCGAGTAGACAACAGCGGCAAATGACTCCAAGTCACGGACCGACTCCATCTCCTGGAGATATTCATTGGGCATGCCGTTCCCAATGGCGTGTGCCTGCCGGGTGAGCACAGAGAGGATCTTGGGTAATAGGACGACCTTTGTGCTCTTCAATTCTTTGCTGTAAGGCACGACTACATTCCCATCTGGCTGGGCAGGAAACTCGAATGCTTCCTTGGCAAGCTTCTTGTCAACTAGAGAAGAGAACCCCGCATCGAGCAGGAGAGTGAGGACATGTGCGAAGGAAGGCGACTCAATGAGATCCGCCGTTTCGTCCAGGAGCCTCCGAAGGGAAGCAGGCGATTGCTGCGAGCTTTGTAACGAGCTGCCCAGAAGAATGCCGGATTCTTCTAATACGAGATCCTCATCCTCTCGCGGGGGCAACAGATAGGTAAGCCATTTAGCTTTCCTGCGCTCCTCTTGGGTCGCGCCCTCGACAAGCTTCCGAACCTCGATAGTGAGCTCTGCGAATCTGTCGAAGCTCACGAGATCACGGGGGCTCAAACTGCCAAAGACTGTGCGCACAGCGCCCTCGACCCGCTTCATGATATACAGCCAGCCCCTATTAAGCAGCCACCAGCTGAATGTCAGATACCTGCGGTTTGTGTCGAAATCACTTCCATAAACCTGTTCTGAGTTGTCATCGTCGTTGTTTTCCAGGCTGATGGTAGCTTGTTGCGAGCTCGTGGCGAGAGCAACGACGCTCGAGAGATAGCTCCGGCGGCCTAGCAGATTCAACTGAATCCGGGTAAGCATAGTCAGGAGCGCAAGAGTATAGATGAGAGTAAAGGCGCGGGTCACAGCTGGAGTTGGGTGAGTTTGTTAGCGCGCTCGACCCTTGGGAGCAGAACATGAACGTCACGTACCACTGATGGCTAAATCATCCCACAGCTGTCGCTTTGACTTTGTTGGCTTTGGAGGAGCGCTCTCTTCCTGCGGTTCGACGCCGGGGGCGGCAGCTGGTGATGGTGCTGGCTCGGTCGAAGCACTTTCGGGGTGTAGACTTTTGTTCTCCTCCTCGGTGAGGGAGGTGTCGGCAATACTAGGAGCTGTCGATTCTGTGATACCTGCCCTGAGGCCTTTGGCGCTCTTCATTTGTTGAATTTCATATGTGATCTTCTCCGTGTCCATGGCTTCGAGGATATTCGTTGTCGCAGTCGGCAGTAGGGCGAGGACAGTGAATGTACAGTCTTCTTGGTTCTGCTCGAACCGGCGGCGGAGACTACCGGTGGCTATTTAGTATACTTGAATGGGAAGCGAGAGGGTAGAGGGAGTGGCGTGGGGGATGTCGTACTTTTCCTTTGCGATTCGTTCACTGCTCATGCGCTCACGAGCATCGCTGATTCTGGAGATGACATATTGCGACACCGCATATCCAGCGCCGATGACACCGACGCCAATTGCGATGGGCGTGCGGTTCTGGCGCAGCCACCGCCGTGCCGACGAAAACATGTTTTGATTTTGAGGCGCCGACCGTATCCCGAGTGCTTGGGATGATGCCTAGGTGAGAAGAAAGAGAGTCTCGGAGGTTAGAGGCACGAGCGGGCGGTAGAGTGAGTGGGACCCGTCCCGATATAAAAAGAAGGGCGAGGGGAAGATAGTCGTTGCGACGGGGTCAATGACGGAAAAGGAGAGCGAGCGCGTGAGGTCAAGCAGCTCACTCGCTCCGTGAACTACTGAACTACCTACTGGCAGCTACGGTGAGTCCAAGAGAGGGTTTGTGGTTGACGAGGAACGCGCCGATGCATCTGGTCTTTTGGTGATAGTGGCCGTCAACCAACCGGAAGCAGGAGCGTTGCTTGCACCTGCCTGGAGGCGTGTCGGAGCACCTGCTCAGCTATGACGAATGGATTTACCTCGGCCCCGGCGCGTTGAGACAGCCGGCGTCTGCGGGCGTGATTGGTCCGTTTTAATAGACCCCTATAGGGTGGAGCCAATTAATTAATGCGTCAACCCCCAGCTGCATAATGCTTCATCTCAGCGCATAAGAGTTACGGGTTGCATTGATAAATTGCAGCTCAGCGGGCTACACGAAACCACGGCTGAAGTTGTGTCTCTATACCGGGGTACTGGCTAAGAGTTCAAACTCGGGATTAACCTCAAGGAAATCCTGCAGATGGCGAAGCGTATAGCCTTTAGTCTATGGGGGTTAACATCACCTAGAGAAGTCGCAACTCGTTATAGATCCTTTGAATTCAAACAATCTGTTCTACCATATCCCAGAGCTTGAGGGCGGTTATAGAACAATATACGACCTTTCGCGAATTGTTGAAAACTACTAGATATGCCGATTTTAAGCATTCTATCCATTCTATCTTTGACACTAAATTCTAGACAGTGGACCTGCTTCGGCTACTTGATCGCAATGCCTAGGAAAAGATCATAGGTAAGCTAGTTAAGTATCCCTTGCAGTCTTATAGTACTCAGCCAAGCGGAATCAGAAACCCCTCTTCTCAGGGTCATGGAACGGCATGGCTACCCAACTTTCCTTGCGCACAATCCAAGCCAAGGCTCGGGTGCTTCCTCCATCTAGTGCAATCAGGCGCGCTTGATCAAGGCCTCACGGTCGGGGCCTGTGCCAATATACTTGATCTGCGGGACGTTAACAACTGCGGGCTTGAACAGTATTTGCGCCCACGTACCTTGACTCCCACAAACTTCTCAATGTACTGCTAGAGATCAGCCATCTTGTTCGCTATACGAGCCCAATTCACGCGCTTACCTCCACGTAGTCACGAGCCTTCTTGGGCAGATCGTCGTAGGTCTTCACGTTAGTAGTCGGCGTTTGCCACCCTGGCATCTCATGGTAGACCACCTCAGCTTGTTCCAAGATGTTAAGATCCGCAGGGTAAGATTCTAACTCCTGGCTAAACGGTCAGCGTCGACATCTTCTATTTTGATCTCGTCGGCATCACTGACCTGTCCGTCGACTTTATAAGCGATCGCGATCTTGATCGTTTCAAAAGTGTCCAAAACATCGAGCTATAAAGTGTTAGAGTATTTTTCATATACGTAGGAAGCATACCAGACCGACCTTTGTTAGGTTAAGGCTGGTGTAGTAGTTGATTGAGTTGCTGTATTTGACAACCACGAGGTCTGTACTTGTTAGATGCGTCCCCAGTTCCGTCAATCCCTGATGCTTTTTAAGATGTGCGTACCAAGCCTGAGAGCAGTCAGTAAGTTGATCAGCAGCTCAACGCTGAAGTGGTTTAAGCTCACCATCCACACCGGCGTCTGCGACCGGTCGACGTCCCCTATGTTTTGTCAACGATGAAAACTTGAATTCTCCAAGGTGCATATAGCCTCACCCATTCGCGTCCAATCTCCTGAAGTTTGGTGCCAATCCTAAGGTTTCTGATTAGTCTAGAGTGGCTTCGGGTACGTGATAAAGACGTACTCTTCCGTATCTTCGGTCTTGAAGGCACCCCAACCGACACGGGTGGTGTCTGTTACCAGTCAGCAGTTAACAACAGCCTTGAAGCAACTAACATACAAGCCTTGACCACTCCAACAGCCTCGGTGATGTTCTTCGGGTTCAAGGTGAGTCCACCAATGATGCCGGCAAGCGTGGTATTTGACGAAGTAACGAACTATTATTGGTTATAAGTACTTGTGCAAAATCGAGAACGAAGTTAACGCAGACTTACTGGATACGAGCCGTAATCAATATCTAACATCAGTGCCTATTGAAGTAAGCACTGGTTGCTTAGCATTTAGGACGAGAACATTACGTTTGCGCCTTCGACCACAATCTTCTGGTCGTTCTGCTGTGCGGATGTCATGAAGGCCACGCCGTCCACGACGTATTTCCGCATCGTCTCCCTGTATTCCTCAAAACGAGCAAGCTCGGCTTTGGTGTCGTACTCGAAAAGCTCTCCAAAGCGCTTTTGATAACCATCAGCTAAGCGCTTCACCTTCTGCTCGAAAATTTCAGGATGGAAGATATCAGTCAATTTGATGCCCGTTCGCTGGAAGAGTTAGCACACAGTGCGACCCCTCGTCACGTCAAGTTCTTACCGCTCTGCTTGTTTGGTAGCATGGACCAATACCTTTGGTGAACGTTAGACCCCGTTGCTTTGATAGAAATGACTACCCCTGCTGTTCATGTATGGGAGTGCTTGTAAAGGGGCAAAAGTAGCATGAAGTTCTGAGGGTATATTACCGCGTCTTGTTGTTCCAATAGCTGCACCTGAGGTTTCCATTAGCTGCTGTTTCTATAAAGAGAGCATCGAAACCATATTACGAACCTCCAAGCTCCATCTCTTCGAGACCATCCACTGCGATGTGCATATCCAAGAGGACATTGACTCTGTCAGAAACAAAGATTCGGTCGTGTACCGTGGTCAAGCCCTCTGAGCTATATTAAGCATACTGATGCTCAAAAGATTGTGGTACTCTGCAACATACTCTCTTCAAGCTCCCTGAGCTCGCTGAAGAAGGTTGGGCTAGAGAGACCGAGTCAGTCTTATTGACCTGTTCAGTTGAGGGGTGCGAGCTCATAAACGGAGAGCTTTGTGATGACGCACATGTGACAGACCACACCAGAGCCGATAAAGTTCTTACACCGCGGATTCATGAGGCCGGAGGGCAAGAGGTGAAAGCTACTACAAGTCAATAGCCTTCCACAGCTTCGACGCCGGCCCGTTCTTTACCTGTAGGAGACCCCATCCACCCTTTGACTAATTAGCAAATCACGAGTATATCAGTTGATCGATTGAAAGCATTTGACGAACTTGATCTCGTGACCTGAAACCGTCCTACTAGTCAGCTCTGGGCCCCAATTGAGGCCGCTTTAGAGATTTGCCTCGGGGCAGACAGACTGACCTGCATTGTGTCCACCCTTGAGATTAGTTAGCAGGCATTCCACCGGGAGAAAATAGATTGCGAAGGGATCGTAGAAGCTGTTGGGGGATTTGGTGCCTTGGTTGAACTTACGGCAGCTCGGCAAACAAGTTGCGCGTCCCGGGACTGGATATCAACCAGCTTTCCCTTCTGAACACACAGTATCGTTAGTTTTTGGATGCCGGGTCGTATTGGGTTCGAATCGAGGACCCACGCCTTCGTCGCCTATGAGGTTATTGTTAGTATCGCGAGAGCTAACCGATATTGGCCGGGCGCAGAAGAAGAAGCTTCCCAGGCAAGGGATGCAGAGCAAGCTTACCCCATTGGGCCCCGAGAATGATGTCGATAGTCATTCCGTGAGAGATTGAGATTGGTTGTCGTGGATGTCGTTGTTGTAGTTGAAGGAAATGAAATGAAAAGATGACGTGCAACAAGCTTTTCATGAAAGCGGTTGGTGAGGGGCAGCGTTGTGATAGCCTCATGGAAGCCTTGCAGATAGCATTAGTGTTTGACCTAAATCAACACTGGTGCCACGCTAGATAAAGATAAATCTAAACATATATAATCTGTGTAATAATATATCTTCATATATAGGCTACAATTCGTTTATAATCCTTACACATGCCTATACTTAAGGTTTTGAATTTTTTTCATCATCTCCAGCATCCTCTTCAAAGGGGGCGTTTGACCTGAGCACAAACTTCCGATTCTCTGCAGGCAGTTCACATAGATTACTCAATTCGGTTGAAATTTTCTCTTGAACATCGTTTTCATTAACTTGTCTTTGCTGTTCTTCATCTCTTGTCCGAACCAGCTGAACTGTGTAAGTGGTGATTGACGCATTTGGTCTTGCCCCTGTCAATGGATATTTTGCCCCGCCCCCGCCCCCCACTGTGACCTGTTCAAACAATTAATACTACCAATGTCACCGTTGCTTGAACGTAGCCATCCACAAGTCCGATCTTCCTCCTTAAGAAAAGGTGCTGCAAAGCCACGAGCGCTTCGAAATATTGAAGTGCCTTACCAAAGCCCGCCATTTAACCTCAAAAGCTAACAGATTCGTAAATCCAAACGCCGTGGATGGTGTTTGAAGCTCGCCTGCGCTCCTGAAACTTCACGGGAGAAAGCCGTCCTCCATAAATCCTTGCGTCGCATACTCCCATCGCCGTGTAACTGCCAAACCACCGGCTTTGGTTTGGCGTCTGTAGAAGAGCCAAAAAAATATGGTGAGACGTCGGTTTACCCCACAGGTTCTTCATCTTCGTCGACGCTACCCTATGCTCATTACCAACGGCTGCAATTTGATGTCAATTGAATGAATATTGCGATTTTAGATAATTAGCATGATGTAATGTGCTACTTTCATCAAATTAGTAGGTTAGGTGTGTCTAATAGTCGATAATTGAGAATAAGTCAAGATCACAAAACTAATTATCAACTGCCTCGACTTCAGCGTTGGCATGAACTTTCAGTTCTAATCCAGCCACAACCACCAAGATCGTGCGCCACAGCCCAGACAACTTGCGGCGTCGGGTAATGTAAGTAGACCCGACTGCTTTAATAGACCACATGATAAAAATGGATCCATGTAAGGCTAACTTCCAGAGATCCTTGCTAGCGATAGCGGCATGTTTATCAGAGACTGCCCCTCCCTACTCGACCTACAATCGAGCTTGGAGCAGACCAACGCTCCCCCATCTCCGCCCCGACATCAACTCCCACAGGCACCCGCCCGCGCGACATGGACCAGCAGGAGCCGACAGAGTTGATACTCGACGTCTTCACCGACCCGAGGTCCGTCCGCGACGTCGTCAAAGGCAAGCAAGACCCCCCCTCTCCGTTCCCTGTCATCCAGAAGCCCCGCGACGTCATCTCCCGTCTCGACTCCCATCCCATCCCATCTCCCAAGACCACCAAGACCACCATCACCACTACGCCCCGACTGTATAAACTCACATCGCTCATTCGAAATACTCCATCCAGGAATCCTCCACACCATCTTCTTCCACCGCTTCTTCCCCGCCGTCACCCCGCAGACCCGCGAGGTCCTCGACCTCTCCCTCCCCTACGTTGACAACGACGAGCTCGAGACCATGATCGACCAGCGCGCCGCCGCCCTGGAGCGCCAGCTCGACGCCGAGCGCTCCTCGGCCGGCACGGGAGGCGCCGGGGGCGGCGGCAGCAGGGGCCAGTTCACCGTCCAGTTCTTCGAGAAGCGCCGCCGCAAGGCCTGGCTCACCCGGGGCGACGATGAGGTCTGCTGGGAGTGCTGGACCCTCAAGGTCACCGTCGCCGAACCCAAAACTGAGAGTGGTGCGTTCTTTTACCTATCTTCCCAGATGAGATGGGTGTGTGGTCCATCAAGGTAAGGTATGTATGCTGCATTAGTTGCTAACATAAGGCTCTCGCTAGAACGGGCCAAAGTGCGACGAGCCATGGAACAAACACTCCAAACGACCGTGATGAAGATTGTTACATTTGTTAATACTCATAAAGATCACATCCCTCCGATCACTACACAAGGCGTGAATCCGTTCCCGTATAAAATCACTGTTGATCAAAAGGAGTCGAGCTGGGCCAATCGCATGCGAATGTACTAGCAAATTACGTTTCAATTCCATGCAGGGCAGCGTACGCCAAATTTGCGTCTAGCTACAGAACGTGCCAACTAATCCAATCGCTTACAATACTCCAACCTGTTCTCGCCCTGAGAGCCAGGTTATGACATCCAAGATGGTGAGCAAAACGCAAAAGCAAGAACCAAAAGTAAAAACAGAACGCATCCATCCGACTTTGGTGTAAGAACAAAACGCCAACTAATACCATTCCAGACCCTTCCGATTGATGTCGCTCATCCTACACCTGTGCCTCCCAAAAAAAATAAACGACTGCGTCTGTCCGCGTGTTTGGAAATTCGTGCATTCGTTGCTGATAAAAAAGGGAAATCAAAAAATAAAGAAGTAATGTGAAATAGAGCTTCGAAGACGTCCACCTAACTCTTCTTGTAGCAAGACCCAATAGAGGGCAGCAAGAAGATGTTTTCTTTTTAATATGTATTTTGGGATCCTCATGAAGATGGAGGACAAGTCCATCCTCAATTTGGTGTTCCTCATTATTCATTAAGTCATAAACATTGCTTCTCATGTTCCAGAATTGCTCATCTGGACTGGTTTTAAAAGGTGGTGGAAAAGCTACGGCCGAGGCCAGGCTTGCTTCCCTTAGATTTTGCTGCCTGGGAACCATTGCCGTTGCCCGACCCGATTTTCTCGAAGCCTTGTAGAATGTCAAGGCCGGTGAAGTCTGACATGGGGTTTGGGCTCGGTGCAGGCATAAACTGGCTGTTATCCAGCATAAGATGAGGCCAGTCGTTGTCGCCCACCATTTCGAGCATTGCATCGAATTTGGATGGCGAGGCGCCCTTGCAGGGAGATTGTTGAAAAAATTTGGAAGGAGAGCTCATCCCCTCAAATGCCTTGCTTGGCGTTTCCAGGAATTGCATGGGGGTGTCAGGGACCTTGAGAAATGGAGCAGAGGTGATTGGTTTCTTGGCGGCCGATCCTGTGAGGTTGCCCAGGACAGACGTGGTTGCAGCGCGCTCAAGGGGTTTTCTCTTGGCAGACCGCTTGAGTGGTGACCCATTCCCTGAGACATTGCTTGTAAGCCCGAAGGTATTCTCGTTGAATGTGTTGAAGTCACCGAGATCACCCAGGGTGTCAACATTGAAGTCATCAAAGCTGTAGAAGCTGTCTTCCAGTTTGAAAGCGGGGCTCCAGCGGCAAGGGGTGTTCACTCCAATGCCACCGACCTCGTCGCCAATTTCAGTTACTCTACGCAATGGGGATTGCAGCAATGTGCGCATCCTGTCGCGGTGTTGAGCAAGGTTGGTCGCAGGAGATACCGACACTGGCTGTTCAGGGGCCTTGATCTTCACAAGTGGAGTCAAAGGGGGTAGCATCTGATTATCTTGTGCATGTCGTAGCGGTGATGAGGAGATTGGGCCAAAGGCCGACTTTGAACGACGCTTAGTAGGGCTATGGGGTGACGAGTTGCGCAAGCGAGCAATTTCATCCTCAGCGCGACCCGAACCACCGAGGCGTTGTTTCTTTCTCCTTGGTTTATCCGCTTCTGAGGTCATCAAGAACGATCGCTCAGTCGGTCTGAGAGCAGATGATTCAAGGGACGATATGTATCCACTATCGTCCACTGACGCAAACTGTGATCTCTTGCGAGAGCGAGAGGCGGAGTTTTGCTGGGATCCGGGTGGAGGAGGAGTTCCACTTCGGAGCTGTGAGCTTCTTGCCAATGGAGACGAATTGAGAAGGCCGAGACCGGGTGAATAAAGCGAGTTTTCCAAGGCGGTTTCATTTTCTACAACCTTGTCACTGACTTCCTCAGGAACAGAGCCATCCGATACGGGAATAGTGGCATCTGAAGAGAGCTCTTGGGTTGTAGGCTGTGCTTGAGGAAGCTGCGGGAGAGGAATCTGGGGCATTAGTCCCAGAGGTGGGAGACTGGGCTCAGGAGGTGGAGGAGCCGGGGTGAGCCTCGAAGGCTCGAGCCTGGTAGACATCACTGGAAGGTTCTCAGCGCTCGGAGCCGACTTTCGGCTTGGCTTCTCTTTGAGAAATTGATGCTCCGTTCCAGTTTCGATGCCCCAGTAGTTTCCCTTTCCTGGATCATCCTTGGGCCGCTCGATTTTGATGAAGTTCTTGTGCAGGCTCAGATTATGTCGAATGCTGTTTTGCCAACCGGCGTCGTTGGGATTGTAAAAGGAGAAATTGTCGCTGATCCACTTGTAGATCTGAGCCAGTGTGAGTCGTCGATTTGGGGATCGGAGAATGGCCATTCCAATAAGCTGGGCGTAGCTGTGCTGGGGCTTAGCACCGTCATCGTGAATCGGAGGGAAAGAGTCCCAGGGTGGTAGAGCTTGATCTTCGGTCTTGATCTTTTTGTTCGGTCTGAAGCCGGCATTAATGGGTGCTGCGTCTAAAAGTCCTCGTTTTCCATTTGGCTTTGGATAGTAGTCTTCCACCGACAGATTAATGGGTTGCGGAGCAGGAAAAATGTGAGGATGAACGTTCTCTTTGCCAAAGTGCATTCCCAAATCAACTGAGGGCTTTTGTGGTCCGGTCTTGAATTTAGAGAGAAAAGGTCTCTTCTGAAGCGAATCGGTCACCTGGCGATTTCCAAGGGGAGGTGGAGCCATCGATACTGCATGTAGCCTATTTACAGGAGATTTGACTGGCGATCTCGGAGAGGATGAGCGTGTTTTGTGAGGAGATAGATTGCCTCGCCGAGCATTAGCATTAGGGGGATTTAAGACGACGTTCGAACTCGAGCTGCCGAGGGGGCGCCGGGAAGGTTTCGAGACGGTCGGCATTGGTGCGTGGCTGGTCATTGGTACTGAAGAAGTGATAACGGAATCAAATAAATCGTCCTGGAAGATGTGTAGCGGCTCATTCGACCCTGGAAAGCGGGAATGTTTGGCCATGATGGCCAGGCGTTGGCTTGGGGTCTGAGTGACTAGTCAAGCACTGGTTCAAGGCAGTCGAGGCTGACTAGGTTTCCTTCTTTCGAGCTGAGAGAAGATGTTAGCGACTTTTCTGTATTGTCAATACGAAGAATGGTGCTTAATGTAAGCCACTGTAAGCGACAGGCACTTCAAATGGTCATCTCTTTCAAAGGGGGTTATGGGGGAGAATGGCATGTCACGGCAGCAAGCGGCCCGAAGGAAAAGGTTTGAACGGATGAAAAGCAAAGTAAAACTTTAAACGAACCTAGCGATGCGAATGTTGAACGTTGGGATGAGAGCGAAAGTGACTAAATGTTGGGCCAGCTTGATGTTGTGTTCGGATGATAGTAGGCTGAAGATGGGGAGATGCCAAGGTGGATGGATGTGCTAAAGTCGGCGGAGAACGCGTGTTGACCGGGACGTGTTGGAAGTTCCAAGATGCGATGCAAACGGCTGGGAGGCTTTGTCGGTAATTTCGAGAGCCCAAAAAATGTCGAGCGAGTATTTGTTCGACGGCGTTTCGTTTATGGTCGGACGTGGAGGTGTTGCAGCAAGGCAGGAGGCGGTTTCGGTTGGTTGGTGCGAGGAGTAAGATTCAATGAAGGATGAAATTATGGGCTGGCGGGTGCGAGGAAGAAAACGAACGTGCAAGGGAAGGAGCAGCCCGGGTGGGCGTGACGGCAAGGTACCTGGTACATGTACTTGGGTAGATTGATTGATGGGAAGAGCCAAGAGCTGGACAACTCAGCAAGTTGGCCCCGGTACCAGGTCTGGTGGAGCCGCCAGGAGCACAAGGGAGGGAGCGACAGCGGCAGGGATTGGCTGGAGGGTGTCTGGGCTGACACAGCGGCGACAGGGATGATCCCCAGCACGAATGCGAGGGAGAACTCTGAAGCTGAGAATAGGTGGAGGGCGGTTAGGAGAGAGAAGGGCCGCGTCGCGGGGGTTTCGGAATGGGCGAATGGCACTGGCTGAGTGACTGGCTGCGTTTATGCAATGGCCTCCACCCACCAGCCGTCTGTAGGACATGAGTTCTTTAGGATGTGATTGCATGAGAGGTGTCTGTCTCTCCTCAAGCTACCGTACAGGAAATACTGGACCCAGCTTCCCAACCTGGCCCGGCTTTCCTGGTTTACAACTAAGACTGCCACTCTCCCAAACGGGTGGATAGTCTTAATGCTAAGACGTGAAGCTCACAATGGATTTACGATCCAGTCACTGCCTAGTTCCATGAGCCCAGATGCCACACAGCGTATTTTAGCACCATGCCATCGTGACAAAAGATGGAGCCGCTACCACGAGGATGACGATTTCCAAAGTGCGATAGCGAGGTGGGCCCAGGTCTCGATCTCGATGGTACCGAGTACATCCTCTGCTCGCAAAGTGGCGTCGGCAGATGGGCTGCAGCACCAGAGTCGGACTTAGGGGGGTTTTGGAATGAGTCGACGCGACACAGGGCGCGTACTGAGGTCGGCCGGCTGCTTCAAGGCCTGTGCCAGGCCCGTCCTTGTGGCCCCCTCAGCTTTCCTCGAGCTCTCCCGCCCCGTGTACAGGAATTGACTTCCCTTGCCAGGCCGTTAGCGCGGCTTGTCTGCTAAATTACGCTGGGCCTGGCTCGCTGTCTACTGGCGGCAAAACAGGGTAATTGAGTTTGATATGTATGTACGTACATCCGATGGCTACTTTTGGCTTACAGCGTCCCGCCCATCGGGATCAATCTAATTGGAGCTGCGCCCCGAGCACTAAGCCTGGGGCTGTCAACTTCTAAAGATCGACAGTAATTGGGTGCCCGCAGGCCACTCGAATACCAAGACCTGTTGCCTGCAGCGCTAGAGGCATGTAGGTGCAAGCGGCACCGCAGAGAACGGAGGGGCAAACAGCATGAAAGGTTCTTGGGGGCCTGATAGGGAACACATGGGTCTTCCAGCAACGAACGGCTGAGGTTCGCTGTCTCCTCCTGCCTGGTTTGACGGACGGACGTGTCGGTTGGTTGGATGAGGAGGTCGCCTGACGTTGGCCGACGCGTCCCACGACGCGCTCGTATTGTTTTGGTTGGGGCGCGTCGCGGACCAATCAGGCGTCGGCAGAATCACGGGTGTGACGCAACTGGCCACTGGAGCTCTCGCAGCTTAAGCTTCTGGTGGTGGAGCGCACCTACTGAAAGGGGAAGCTTTTTGCACCCCGGCCCATTGCAGGCCTAATATTATCACAACCCCAGCGTTTCACTCTCTCTCCGGATCCCATCCAGCGATCCATCTGCTGCTGCTACCTCGTACATTGTAATGGTACCTACCTACTTGTGCTTGTCCTCCTCAGCCTATCGGGTCCATCGAGCCCGTTGACAGGCTTGGCTGGCCACACGGCACTGCTGTGGAGGGTCGAGTATCGCCCCCGCTCGATGTGGTGGTGTGGTGGTGCAAGGTAACGTCGTGCAGATCGGCTTCTTGTGCATTGACCTGTCTGCCGTGAACGAGTCTATGAAGATTTGGTGCACAGATTCACGCCGTCGGCCGGGTCGCTTCACATAAGTTATGCAGGTCCCGGTATGGCCGCCCTGCGACGGCCAGCCAGAGAGGATGATAGATGGAATGATTCAACTCACTGACCGCCAGATCAGATTCGCAGCTTGGGCCCTGATACGACCAGGCTCTCACATGGCTCCCCCATATCTGCCCATGCATTGGCCGCCACCACCTGTGCACTGCCTGGATGGGCAGACTATCATCTCATACTCTCTCGCCCTAATGCCGGCCGCGACCAGGCCATTGTCTGTATCCCTTTTCCCTCGCATACTATTACGACGACGACGAGGAATGCCCGCGAAACCCGTCACCATGTCTGGTCTACGGGGTTATTGCACTTTTAAAATTGAATTGATGAGTTGTCCATCACTAGCCGGCACTACCTAGTCATGTCAAAGCTTGGTCGTGCCGCAAGCTGGTACCTGCGCTATTACTCCGTCGGTAGCGCTGCGAACCAAGCTTGCCTTCTTTTTTTCTTTTCCTTTTCCATTTCTCTCCTTATTATTAGGCGAGCGATGCTAATCCCGGCGAGGCGAGAGTGACTGCAGGGCCTCGGGGATGTCCCGTGACCATTGAGCCATGCCCAGGTCTCCCTATCCATAGATCCAATCGCATGGCCGTCGTCGACCCTGCACTGTCCTCTCTGCTATCATGGCTTGGTGCTATCAGAAAGTTCGCAGGTAGACAGACTAACCGGATTCCCAACTGGAACAAACTTATCTCGTCAGTCTCGCCTACCTGAGACCAAAATCTCAACACACTCCCTCTCATGACATCACGATGTGCCTTTGGGCAAGGCAAACTTTCAGCCCAAGCCCTCCACGCCATCTTCCTCTGCATGAATACTAAATCTCTCTCGGTCACTAGTAATAATGGCCCTCTTATCGAGATGGCCGGCCATTTCGTAGAGACCAGACAGGACAGGAAAACGGGAGAACGCGGATACCGAAACTCGTAATACATGCAGCCTAGCTGCAGCCAAACATGAGGCCCTCTATCCTTGTATACTTTGAAACCTTCTGAAGGCCTTTTCCCTTTCTCACGTACCATTTCCTCTCTCCGTGGGCCCATTATGACGAAAAGTCGATATCCGTACATCGAGATGGGAAAAGTCAAATTCTGTAGAAGTAGGTATCCGTGTTGTGTGCCGGCATGGAAATGCTTCATGCCATTGGCCCCAAATGCTGCTCCCGTCCCTCAGCTGTACATGAGCTGGGGCCCTGTGTGAGACTCGAGAGCCGCTATGCCCCCCTCTACGGGTCCACGCAGCCTCCGAGACGTCCGGAAGGGATGCCCAAGGACCAATCTTCCCCGGCACATGGTGGGGTTCAAGGGAGGGAGGAGAAGAAGACACACAGAGAGAGAGGGAAGTGAAAAGAAAAAACTTGATGCTAGCTCCCTCGGAGCCTTATGCACATGTGATCCCCGCTAGGCCATTAAACTCGCATGAAGTGTTGACACATTGGGGAGGGGGGTTTGAGGCTCGAGCTGGAACTAGCCGAGTGAGAGAGATCACGATTCATACGAGTTTGGGGCTTGCTGGGTGAGACCTTGATTAAACTCGAGGATAAGACATATGGGGCTAGATCAGGGACGGTTCCTTCAGTCCTTCGATCTCATCGAGACTTGTCTAGCAAAGCCTGGATCAGTGTGGCACCTGTGTGGTTGAAGTGAATTGTCACGAATACGTGGGATCTTGGTTATATCTGGCCAAGTTGCAAAAATTTTACCGAAAAAAGACAGCATAAATTTCATTTTACTACTACTAGGTGGCATTGGCGTCGACTAAAAATGGCCATTGACTAACGCAATACAGACACTATGTACTTTATTACACTTGGAATAGCTGAATACTGGACTCGAAGTCTGTTGAATTCCTCATCCCATCTCTTCTCTAAGCTGGCCGTGTCTCCCATGTGAATCCCGAAGCCCGCCCTTGACCTGAAGTTTCCTTCACTCCGGTATAATCATCTAGTCTAGAACTTTACCAGCGACTGCAGCGCCACTACTGTCCTTGGTCTTCGTCTTCTTGAGAGCCTTGCCAGCTTGGATCTCGCCCAAGAATCCTGCAGGCCGCCCACCAGAAGGAAGTGCTGGGGCGTTGCCTGGAGGCGGAGGAGGGGGTGCTGGTGGTCCACCCATGGGAGGAGGAGGGGGAGGGGCGCTGGGTGCACCAGTGCCAGGCATAGGAGGAGGAGGAGGGGGAGCTGAGGGAGCACCAGATCCGGGCAGAGGGGGTGGTGGAGGAGGAGCACCAGGGGCACCTGTAGAAGGCATTGGGGGAGGTGGAGGGGAAGCAATGGGTGTATCGTTTGCTGGCACCGGGCTGGCGGTCGCCGAGTCCTTGCCCATGGCGGACATTGGCCTGGGAGGTGCCATTGTGCCGAACAGGATGGACGCAAGCTGAGCAGCGTTGCCACCGCCAGGTCGCTCATCATCTGAATCCTCATCGTCATCGTCCTTATCAGAGCCCCAATCGTCTGAATCAGCTCGTCTTCGGGACTTGGGGATGGCAGGGGCAGCTGGTGCCGGAGGCGCGCTCTGCGTCTCCTGCTTGATTCTATAGAAGGGATTTGTAGATGCATCTGACTGAGGGGCAGGAGGTGCGGGGGCAGCGGGTGCTGGTGCTGGGGGAGCAGGGGGAGCAGCAGCAGGTACTGAAGGGGGGGAGGTTGCTTCCGTGCTTGGCTGAGCCATCATCCGGAAGTATGGGTTCTTGCTCTCGTTGTCAGCAGGAGGAGACACAACAACTGGCGGTGATGCAGCAGGGACAGTCGGAGGGGGACTTGGCTTGCGCTCGAGTTCCTGGCTTGCTGAGATCGTAGGTGTTGATGCTTGGGGCGTGATTTGTTCTGGACCTTCATCATCCGAGGATGAGCTGTCATCGTCCATGGCTTCCAACTGGCGTTGAAGCTCAAGCTCCCTCTGCTTCGCCGCCTCAATTTCAGCACGTCTGGCTTCCAGCTTGGCCTCCTTCTCCTTGGCTGCGGCGAGAGCAGCCTTCTTCTTCTTCTTCTCCTCTTCCTTCTTCAGCTTCCCAAGTCTGACCTGCTCCTCAAGGGCTTTGAGTCGAGCTTGAGCAGCCTCTTGCTCCTGTTCGAACTCATCTTCTTGTTCCTTGGCGTGTTGCCTGGAAATAATCAATTAGCATATGTATATAAAAGAGAAAAATAGCAAAGAAAAAAAGGGGGTTGAACTTACTGGAGCTGCTGAGTTTCACGTTGCTGCTGCTCGTGTTCCCTGGCAAGCCTCTCTTCCTCCGCTACCCTTGCAGCTTGTTCCTCCTCAGCGTGTTTGGCGGCATCATTTCTACCACGGTTCCTGCTGGGTGGAGGAGGAGGCTTCTTGGCCGTGGGCTTGGGAGCTTCAGCCTCCGGGGCAGGTGGGGGCACACCTTGCTCTTCGGCAAGACGAGCCTTGCGCTCTGCATCCCTGCGAGCGTCTTCCTCCTCCGCCTGGCGTAGCTTCGCAGCCCGCTCGCTCCTTTCCCGCTCAGCACGTTGGGCGGCAGTCTCACCTGCCTTCCCAGGCGCCTTGATACCAAGAGCAGCCAGGCGCTCAGCCATTCGCTGCTCAGCCTGCTGCTTGATGAATGCAGCTCGCTCTTCAGGTGTCTTGTAAGCGGAGTAGGAGTTACCTCCGGAGGGAGTAGTGGTGCGAGATGTAGCCACAGGAGACTCAACCCGGGGGCTTGGGGAGCGAGTATCCTCTACACGAGCCGACGAGCGAGCGGCCACCTTGTCCTGGGAACGAACACGAGCAGCGCGGCTCTCACGCTGCATGTCGAAGATGAAATCGCGAACCTCATCCTCCACACCCAGTGCGTCTTCCCAGCGACGCTTCTCGTGCTGGGTAGATTCGTCTGCTGCGCCTTCCTTGAGGCTGTCCTCGATGCCCCGAGCAAAGTCACGGACACTCTCCTCGACATCTCTGACCATGCGTTCGTTGCTCTCCTTCTCGTTCTTGACCTTGATACTCTCCTCCTCAAGGCGCTTAGCAGCGGCATCATCATCGTACACAGCGTCGACCTTCTTTCCGGTTAGAGCGGCAGTGCGCTGCTGCATCATGGCCTTAGCTCGGGCCTTGAGGCGGTCGGATTCTGTCACGCTACCGCCAGGACCGGTGCCGACAATAGTGCTTGCACTGCCTGGGTGGGCTTTTGCGTCCTGGAGTCGGAACAGTTCCATTCTGGCGTCAAGGATGGCCTTCTCAGTTTTGCGGACCTGGGAAGCAAGCTCGGGGATCTTGTCCGTGAGGTTCTGGAGCTGGCGCTTAAGAGCGCGTCTCTCCGCATCCGAGTCTCCGGAGATGTTGGCAGCGGCCGGATGGGCATCAATGTCTGACTGGATACGGCGAATTCGGCGGTAGAGCTCATCGGCTTCCTTGCGGTCACGCCGGTCTAGAATATCATCCTCCTCTGCATGCTGCTCATCATTAAAGTCAAGAGCATCCAGGAGAACCTGCTTCTCGCGGATCTTCTTGCGGAGTTGGTCGAGCGAAAGGTCTTCGTGCGAATCAACAGATGCAACCGATGCGGGAGAACCAGGGCGAGGAGAGCTGTTGCCCACTCTGCGACGAGCACTGGACTTATACCCAAACTCCTCATTGTCGTTTCGGAAGACGGTGGCATCCTTGCGTCCACCTGTAGCACCACCTCCAGCACCGCCTCTGAAAGATCGGTTCTTCATGTAGCTCACACCAGTCTTCTGAGGAAGCAAAGCAGCACCAGAGTTCTTGCGATCATCTGACTCTTTGCTCAACATTGACTTGACAGCACCAATTGATTTGCTGAAGTTTCGGGTGGAAGGGGGGACAAGCTCAGGGGGTAATGTGTTGGGCAGAGGGTATCCGTTCAGCTTTCTGTAGATCAAATGCATCGCGACGGCGAATTCATCCAAATCTAAGCGTCCCTTGTTTCCATTGTCTGCCAGAGTCCAGACTCGTTCCAGGTCGGGCTTCTCCAGTCCGCTCTGACCGAAAATTTCAATAGCCTGTGCACCACCAATGAACCCACTGCCCATGCCATCCCATGCCCTGAACAAAGAATCATATCGGGTCTTCTCCTCCTTGGTGATAGCCCATGGAATGACGGCGTTGCCCTGAAGGCCCTGAGTCGTGAACGATCCGGCCTCACGCCCCTGCTGAGGCATCATCCTCGCCTGGAGGGCATCAATGTTAGGCAAACCGCTGGCAGGCGCATTGACGAGTCCCCACTGCCCAGGACGCCCGGTGGGCTGCGCATTAAGTGGCGCTGCAGGCTGGTTGAAGCCGGTGGGCATCGGGGGCATCGGTGGTCGCGGTCCTTGGTATCCAGTAGCCTGGGCATTCTGCATAGGAAAGCCAGTAGCTTGGGGCTGAAGGCCAGCTTGCTGTCCAGGGAAGCCAGTAGGCTGGGTGGGAATAGATGGGCTGGCCTGCCCGGGAAATCCAGTCATCTGGGCTTGGAGCAACTGCGCATTGGATGCCTGGGGTTGAGGTTGAGGATGCTGAATGGCTGGGGGAGTGGCGTTGCTAGATCGGGTATCTGGGGTATCATCAACAACGCTAAAGCTGATAATGTCGACCATACTGGAGACCTCATTCTTGATATTATCAGGTAGGGTCGGTGGGAGCGATTTGCGGTTAATCTTGAGGTTACAGAGATACATTGCCAAAGCGAACTCTGGGAAGTAGAGCTGGCCAGCTCGGGTGGTGTCGGCGAGCGTCCAAATATGCGACAGCGAGTCACCATCCAGCTGTGATCGCAGAAGGAGATCCCTGGCCTTCTCTCCAGACATTGTAGTTGAGTTCTCCCCCACGGCCGACTTGAACAACGTCTCGAATTTGGCCTGATCTGTTGCTGTAATGAATGAGAGTCGGATGTTGGGGATCTTGTTCACTGTTGCTTTCTTCTCCGCCCGACGGCCCTGGGGTCTCGAATTGCTGCCCGTATGAAAGGATGCTGCCATCTCGTTGAAGCCGGTTGGCTGAGGCTTCATCGGGGTCTCGACGGTCGGCTGAGGGGAGCTGGAGAAGCCAGTTTGTGAAGCAGTCTGCAGCCCCTGAAATGAGGATTGCTGCGGCTGCTGTTGCTGCTGCTGTTGTTGGAATTGCTGTTGGTACTGGGCGGGAATCGCTGGCATAGACGGGACGCCGGTCTGGAAGCTCTGCTGAGGTTGAGCTTGGCCTGGGAACCCAGTAAACTGCTGCTGCAGCGGCGGCGACTGGATCTGGCCGCCTGGCTGCTGGCTCTGCCCAGGAAACCCAGTATATTGTTGTTGGAGTGGCTGCTGTCCGAACCCGGTAGGCTGGGGCGCGAGTTGCTGTCCAAAGCCAGTGGGCTGAGGAGCGAACGGACTGGGCTGCTGGCCTGGCTGCTGGCCTCCCATGGAATTGAAGCCACCATACTGCGGTTGCTGGCCACCCGGCCGTTGGCTGTTGCCGCCTAAGTAGGCGTTGGAATTGGAATACATCGCGTTATTTAAGGATAGACACTATGGCGACTTCGGAGGTGTTAAGGAGCTCGCGGATGCCGGAGGGGGAGCATGAAAGCTCGGCGGTCGATGACGGCTGCGACGGGAGAAGCACTCTCGCCCGGATGCAAGACAGGCACGCGAGAGATTAGAAGCAAGTGTCGCAAGAATTGCGATCTACCTGGGGATGGTACACAATGCAATCCTGCACCCAGTGAGCGGGATTGTTTGCGGGGAAAAGGGGGGGTTGACGGATTAAATTAGGTGAAGGTTGGAAGATGACGAAGCTCTCGCCGACTTCATTTGAGTGCTGCCTGTCTGTCGATGCGGACTGACGACCTCCTTGATTTGGGGCCCAGCCGCATCCAATCAAGCGGTTGCCAGTGATGACATGGGTGTGGGCCGCTGGTTGCTGTGGCGCAGTTTCGCCTGTCTTCCCACTGTAATGCGCTACCATGTACCACCTAGCCGGTGACGGAAGAAATGAGACAGTACCTTAGGCTGAAGAGGTATGAGTAGAACAATTCCTGCAGCAAATGCATTAGAGTAAGATAGTACTAGTAAATGATGGATATTGATAATTAATAGCTCTTGGAAAATTTACTAGCGTTCAGTAACATAATAATGGCCATAGACTCGAGAACAACCAGTGTAATTGGATGTGAGGTATGCCCACAATGACTTGATGTAAGCAGAGCATCCTATAGACGGCGTCACTGGCTTGGCAGGGCCACACACATGTATCATGCAAAGCAGCAACTGACTCAATATAATGTTAATTCCTTTCTAGCAAGTCCCTCGTGGGATCCCTGAATACCAGTTGATGTTCCAGGCCTTTCTATGAAGGGGTATCGATGCAATAATTATTCAAAAAAAAAAAAGAAAAAAAGAATGTCAATCCCAGAATCAAAAACGCCCGCTGATGTTGCCTTCGCACGTCTCGCCCCCCTTTGCGTTCATGCTCAAACGCTTGTATAAGTAGAATGTCGCTTCATATATCCAAATATGATATGATACCAATTATTTTTCCTTCCCAAATATATCCAAAAAAAAATGAAATAGAAATAGAAAGATGATAAAAAAGAAAGAAATGATAGGGTTTTAAACCTAGTTACCGTCGTCTTCCTCGCGGATGCAGCTCACCGTCTCACCCCAGGGGCGTCGGTATATCTGCATCACCAAGTCGCTGTCGCCCAGCGGCCCGTCAAGAAAGGTGTAGCTGCCATCGTGGTCATCTTCTGGCGCCGCCGCAAACTGCGGTAGCAGCTTCTCAGAGATGCTTCCGCCATCAGGGGGGGTTTCGCCGGTAAGCGCAAAGCTGCCGGCGGCGCTTGTTGGGCTCACGGCCGCGTCGCTGGAAACGGTCGAGTTTGTTCGTGCTGGCATCACCACCTGCCCACCTGGGGTAGTCTGGATGTCCGGCAACATGGGGCCCTCGCCGACCTCGATGACCAGCCCGGTTTCGCTTTGTGGCCTCTTCCGGCTCGATTCGTAGTCTTCCAGGGCTAGCCCGCCAAACGAGGCTGCAAAGATGTTGTCTCCCTCACGATCAGGAGGAGAAAGGTTGGCGCCGTTTTGTTCTTCGAAACTCTTCTGATTCCTTTCGAGCACAAATGTGAGCTCCGCCACCGCTGCATCCCATTCTTCCTTTAGCTGTTGTGCAAGGATTCCCTCAATGTTGCTGATCTGTGGCTTGTCGTTTCGAAACTTCAGCATCATAGATGATCGTCGAGACTGGTTGACGGGGAAGTTGGCCGTCATGACCGCCTTCTTCACCACATTTTCCAATTCGGTCGGTGTGAATGCCGAGAACTTTCGAATTGTGCAGTTGTCGCCCAGGTGCCTCACTAGATGGCGGAAGTTCGATAAATTGAAGTCATTGTCCTCACAGTCTAGGGTGTGGAGGGTTTTGTTCCCGGATATAGCGTCGGCAAGATCACCAATATTGATGTTGAGCATCTGGCTGCGAACTCTCAGGTGCTCAATCGTCTGATTCGACCTGATGGCTTTCAAGGTGTGAGAGAATTCTCGTCCCAAATGCCCCTCATCAAGTCTGGCATCGAAGCCGGATATGTCAAGAAATCTTACAGACTCGTTCTTAGAAAAGAACTCGGCAATGATGTTGCACGAGGCTGTGCTCATGGCGTCAGCCGTGGCCGAGCCAGCCAGGCTCAGACATTCGATGACACTGTTGACTGTCAAAGCCTTCCATAACTGGACAAAGCTGGTTTCCAAGTTGAACTCGACCATCTGAATCGAAAGGCTCCACGGCCCATAGTTGAGGGAGAGTACATCGCAGAGGTCATCTATCCCTTCGTCCAGCCGATTGCCATCGATCTCAACTACCATCCTCCGCCCCTGGCCCATACACCGGAAAATTAGGGCAACCTGCTTACTGTTCAGGCCGCACTGATTAAGGCGCAGAGTCTCGAGATTCCAGGATGCCTCTGCTCCAAGGTAGCCGCACAACACATCAATAGTGGCGTCGTTCAACTTGACGGTCCGTCAGTATTGATCAATGGTAGTTTTTTTGCTCTTGGCTTCAAAACAAAACTGGGTGAGCGCTTACCGTTATGTTGGAGAGATCAAGTTCCTCCAACTCCCACGTGTGAAGTGTTGCTTCCTCGAATAGAGACTGGCCGGGGTTGAGCCGAGTGTTGCCGGCGATGTTGAGCCTGCGAAGGTACTGGAGTTGGCGGAGGGTGTACTTGAGTAATTCGTGCTTGATCGTGCCCTGGTTATTAGATGTGTCGATCACCTCCAAAGAGCCGGCCTGTCCAGCAAAAGCGGTCCACAAAGTAGAAAGACCTTCATCTCCAAGTCGACAACCCGCAAACTTCAACGATCTGAACGCGACAGTATCCAGAACCAAAACATTCGCTACGGATATCAGTCAGTACAATAGAAACCTCAGAGCAGCATTGGGGCACGAACCAAACTCTTCAATATCATCTACGGCTACCGGGTTCCCGGACATGTTGATGGTATGGCAAGTCTGAAGTTGTCCTCGGGCAAGCAGCGTAATTGGGCGCAACATCTCGGAACTGGTTTTGCAGAGTTTCGTATAGTCAGGCTGAGTGCGGCTTTGTTGATTTCCCCGGGTCTGGAGGCCCAAGACGTTCGTAAGATCAATGCTGCGGACAGATTCAGACGCGAATGCCAGCGAGTGAAGTTCCTGTGTGAGAACTGGTGCCCCAGTCAAATGCTCGTAGTGTTCTTCTGAAATTTTGTAGCCTAGCATCGAATTAGTCCATTTGAGTCCGATGACCATTTCTAGCTGGTGAGTCCTCACCGTTAATGGAAGTGTGCACGATAGCGTCGTTACCCTGCGATTGGTCTATTTTGCCAGCCAATGACGATAAGTCAACGTCCTTGAAGGAAATTGACTTGAAATAACCATTGTATCGTAGAGACCGAAACACAGCCATGAGTTGAAGAGGAGTATACGTTTCCCCTTTTAGGGGGATCAGGCGGAACACTGGCTGGCTCCCATGATCCCAATTTACACTCCACTGCGGCATACTGACGCCATATGCTGCGCAATAGGCCCTCAAGCTCTGCTCAATGCCTCCCAAGTCATTACCGGAGGTAAGCTGCAGGGGAGGCGGGAGGCCCCTGATATCGAAGATGTGCTGTTGGAAATGTTGAGGCCACATCGGTTTCAAGATGCGATCCATTCTCGTCAATGCCTCGATAATCCGTCGGTAGTTGGAGCTAGCAAGGTCCAGTCTCGTCTCGCGTCCGAATGGAGGTCTGTTGCAATGTGTTAGAATATACGACGTTTGAGCTTAATGGCAATACTGACCGGAAGCTCATCACGAACCGCTGCTCGTGTGAGAGCACAGATGCCTTGAATCTCGTCAGAGTGACAGTTCCGAAAGCGGTTGACTTTATCCGTAGGTCGCCTGGCGCTGTTCCATGATCTGCCTTTAACACTTCCAAAAAGTAGCACATATAAGGGCCAATAACGAGATAGAAGGATGACCCGTCCACCTGCAGCTGCGTTTCCTCGTTCGGTGTGGCCTTCTGCGACGTCCAAATGTACCGCTTGGCGACAGGAAATATGAGATTTTGTGTCGATCCTGTCGCCTGCTGTGGCTCGTTTGCCGCAACGATATGATTAATGCGAATTTTGAGGTTCTCGGGTATCATCGAAGGAGCCGGCGAGCGCCTGTTTTTTGCTCTGCACGCCCGCTGTATAGACACAAGCCACTCATCCCGATCTTGCGGTTGTGAGAAGAAAAGCTGCGCTTTGCAGTACCCGAGGCGAGGCCACTGGGAGAACCACCAAACCTCAACACCAAAGCGAGGACTGGCCCCTTCCTCGTTGAAGACACCAACAATGGACTGCAGAGGCACTTCAAAGCGGATGTCTGTAATTGGCGACTTGCTGCCCATCAACTGCTGGGATCCCAAGCTGCGACGCCGAGCTTCAGGAGGGCCCAGCTGTGGGAACACGAACCGCGCAGCGTCGATGCTCCCAAACTTGATCAAAGTCTGATCGGTCAGGACCAGATACTCGGACCGAGCCTTAAGTAACGTGACATCCGTCTTCAGATGGCCAGATCGTAGCACCTCCGCAGTGTGGTACGTTGGCTCCAAGGAGCTTACCGAGACCTCACTTTGGGATATGCTACTGTTGAAATCCCTGGAATACCGACGCTGGAACCTCTCGATCATGGACGAGCTCGCTGACGTCTTGGTCAAACGCTTGGCCGAGTTTGTTCTTCGCATGCCGCTGCTATTGAGTGAGTCAAGAGACGGGTTGCTGAGAGATCGGAGAGCTCGCGATAGCCCTCCTCCTCGGGGCGTCTTGGGCTCTGGCTCAGGGACTTCGAGACTGTCCTGCGGACTCGGTGTAGTTGGCCTAGACCGAGATGATGACACTGTCATCCGCTTCCATTTCTCTGGTACTAATAAGGGCATGATGGCGGTTGTGGTGGAGTAGGATGATACGAGAGGAGGGACAACCAAGCCACCACACGGCCACCACCCACGGGGCTGCCACGATTAATCTTCAGCTGGTGTTGGATGTGATCTGAGGCAGTGATCTAAGGAGACTCCAGGAGAATTGGCGAGATGATGATCAGACCAGGAAATTGGATTCAGTGGACATGCAGGACTGTGTCTCGGTTTTCCCCAGCTATGACCAAATGTCTCAACTCACTGCACGTAGACAGCCCGAGTCGGTCCTAAACAGCACCTGAGGGCTCCTCTCTCCGCATCCGTCGTTTAGTTAGTCGCAGATCGCCTTCCCGTTTTTAGTTACGCGATCGCCAATTCAGATTGGAATTGAATTGACGTCTATGGGCGTCTGGGGCAAAACTATGTATGGGACGAAGTCGACTTTTTCAACAACTATGGGGCAGGGGCGAAATAAAATGCATGGACAGAGAGGGTGGTGGTCGTCGGGGTTGAGGGTGGCTGGCGTAGGAGCTTCAAGCTCTCACTCGACCTGGAGCGGAGCGGTTGCGGAATCTTGTTTAGCACGGAGCATAAACTGGAATGGGCGCAGAGACAGGGAATGCTGGGGAAAGAGGAACGGCCGGCTATTATGCAAGAATCTTCAAGACGGAAACAACAGGCGGAGAGGGGCAAACATGGCACAGCAAACAGGGCGGGAATGTGAGGTGAGCTTGTCCATCCACCATGGAACGTACGTAGGGGTCCCTTCAGGTGTGATGAGTACAGAGAGACCTGGGAGCCGGAGCTTAGCTGAGCTTAGCTGGATCTTGGGTGGTACGTAGGTGGTTGGCGGCAGTCACTTGCAGGTTAGCCCCCTTGCCGCCCTTGGAGCCCGCGGAGGTTAAGACGACCGAGAGCTGCGCGGATGCTCCAATCGGGTGTTGGGGCGTCGACGCGGGCGTTTGCAAGAGACCGTTGTCTGTAAAGCGGCTCTGCAGAAGCGCTAGAGACGGATTCGCAGGCGCTGAGCCACCCGCTGGATTCGTCACGAGAAAAAGGCGTGTTGGGAGGGACAGAGTCGGACGAGCAGGAGGCGGAGGCGTCGTGGTTGATCCTGGGCTGCTGGCGGCTTGCCGGGTCGTATTGGGCTCGTCCTTCCTCTTCTTGTAAGCTGCAGCCTTCACACCGTCGTATTCGAGAAACGGATGGGATTCCCGTATGTCAACAAAAAGCACGTGCTGCCAAGCTAGTGAATTGAGGGCGTGGCGGAGGCCCAGGGGCTAATAAACAATTGCCTGGAAAGCCGAGAATAACGCTGGTGCTTAGCGCGGGAGAGAGGCAAACAAGGGCGATTGGAAAATGACGGAACTGGCCAAAGGCTATTTGTTCATACACACCACCGCATGAGGTGATGGAGAGGACGAAGGGGGGGCGGGAGGAGGGGACGGAGTTGGAGTGGGAAGGTGATAAGAAACAAGGACAGATGATGCGGATTTACATGGAAGAAGAGAAATTGCGGAAAAAAACAAGACGAAAAGCGCGCTTGTGCTCAAGCCTCATGCAGAGCTGATGGGAAACGGTGAGGTCACCTATGTTTTCTCGCTGATGAAACGACCAGCCTGCATTGAACGTGCCATGGAATGGTCCGGGCTTGACCAGGGTAAGAATCAAGATCAGTGTCGTGGATCGGGATCCGGAGCTGCAACTACGTAGCACCATTAGGCTCTAGCAGCGGAACTGCCAAACAGCTAGCGAACCCCGTGCAATTTGATATGGGACGAGCAATTGGAGAGGACCCTCCGCACCGTCGACGCTCTGGAAGTCTTCGGTCAGGCTATCACCGAGACGAAAACTCAGAGGTGCATCCGAAGCCATGGTTGCAGACGACGTTCGCGTGAGCCTCTCCCCAAGAACGGGATTTGCTGGGATGGATGCCGGCCCTGCCTACAGGATGACGCTGCCTGTGGGCCTGACCCCGTCTTTATGGATGGTTACCGTGGGAGTCAGCTGCAATGTGCTGCAGGATGCATTGAAGCGATACGAGCAGAGCAAGGCCATCCCGTGTGCGCGCTATTATTATTTAAGGCGAACCAGCGGCTCGGCTCCCAAGTTCGGACCCGCCGTGGTTGAGCAATCTGATGCTGTTGGCGATGTCAGTATATATAGCTTGAAATCCCCCATTCTTGGTCCTGACTCCCACTTCCGGCCATTTTCTCTCTAGACAGTCCGGGGCTGCCTTCTTACATCAGCACCTTCAGTGCGCCGTGTAAAAATACGAGTCAACGAGCAATGTGTGACCCTTTCCCCAACCCAACCCCAGCCCCTGTGGGAGGCCGGAGCGAGTTTACGTTCCGTGGAAAGCCCCTGAGCCTCCGTGGTCGCCAAGCAATCTCCATGCCAGATACATGGTAGAGTGTCGCCCCTTGTGATATTTCCGATTATAAATATATAATAGTACGATCAGGGGCTCAGTCTTCTGAGCTGTCGCTGCTCTGACCTACTCCAAGGTTATATCGTGCACCGTATTGGTTTTGGCTCAAGGTTGATTTTCCGGGTTCGCTTATAGGAGGTATTCGCCAATTATGGCAACCACTTTATTACCTTTGCAGCCTATACTCCAATCCCTTGAAGTCCCATTGTCCAACGGCTGGCTTTTGATTAGAACTCACCGTCAGAAATAATTCGAAGTTGCCGTTTGCCTCCCTCTGACGTTTACTGCGAGCTTGGCGTGGAGCTTTCAAACCAGCAAATCGTTCACGATCAACTTGCCATTAGTGTTTAACAGTTTCAGAAATCGTTGATATTGAGTTTTCTTTTTTCTTTGATACCAATCAAGGGGTGAACAACCGTCGTAGCCTCTTCGATGTGGCTCAGATATGATTCCGGTTGCTTCTGAAAAGGACATTTGGGCCTCGCAATCGAAGTCCAAGCAAATCCAATCTGTAGCCAATTGGGGAGACAACGGAAGCAGTGCAAAGAAAGGAAAGAAAAAGAAAATATTACGATATCTGTGGCTCTGTTCAATGGCCAAGGAATGCAAAATATGCGCTCCCTAGTGACTGTGAGTTGTTTGAACGAAGATGTCGCCGGTTGCTGCCGAAAATCGGTAGCTCACGACCGGCACTGCTTTCCGCATTGAGTTTCGGTTATGGCTGTGTTAATGTAGTGATATCTTATCAGCCGAGAGACCTGTGATGGATATTTGCCCATAGCATACTGAGAGCTGCAATGAAAGGTAGAAGCACAAGACAAGATCTTCCGTTAGTTTCCAAGAGAGACCGCGTCATGCAATCACCCACATTCGGTCAGACGACAGGTCCAATAAAGGGAACATCACGAGGATTTTCATAGATCAATTGAATCATTGGAGCAAAACCTAATGAGCAGCCAATGTGATCCATGCTATGATCTCCTTATGATTACTACAGTCATGGAAGGCTCAATGAAGAAAAGATTCCACTTCCTTTCTTTTCGCTTCGGACAAAATCAGAAGCAAGCCATGACCAGTTAGGGAATGAATAGAGAGTATCTCCATCGCGTCGGACTTTATTTCCTTTTCTAGACATGTCTGGAGTTTGCCTGCGGCGTCGTTATAATGTTCGGATGCCCCTCACTTCCCCGCGGTCGGTCTCTCTCGGGTACTCGGTGCTGATTGGTATCTGCATAGCATCTTGTGATAGCCTCGCAACTCCACCTACCATGCGTAGTCGCCATCGGGCTGAAGGAGTTACTGAGATGCATCGTACGTCCAATGCACTCGATGGAAGTCCCAATGGATGTGATTGGCACCGGGAATGGGGAAACTTGATAATGATCCCCCACCCGCGACAGATCACCACTTTCGTCCCAACTAGATGAGTTAGACTGCGCGTCCCTTTTTCCGCCACTGCTCAATTCGCACCAGTCACACCCGCTTGTTAGTTGCATGATAGAAGCAACAAGAGACAGGAAGTGAGACGGTTTAGTTTTTCTGCTTAAATATATATACAGAGTCGCCCTCGACAGTCATAAACTACTTATCACTTGCTTCGAACTTCCACCATGAACGCCCATCATCTCTCCCTCAAGCTGCCTGATTCGGTGGTTCGGTGTTCGGCTTATCCCACTGGTGCGTGGCTAGTTACTTTCGCCCCGAACTGAAGCTGTCGCCTAACCACGCACTTACCATTACGGTAATTGCGCACCGTTCGCTGCACTAAAACAGGCGAACCGCCCCCCGGTACTTTCCCAACAATTCCGTGGCGGGGAAGAATATTAATTCACAACTGCAAGTCTTTTCAATATAAGGCCACAGGAGCCCTCCCGCAGCCGCCCCTCTCCCTCAGCCAAGTGTACACCGCCAATAGAGTGCGATTCAAAACTCTGTACACTCACCATGAGCGAGATATTTGCCGAAGATGCTGCCTTGGCGCGGAGAGACTATGTCTACATCCCCGCCGGCCTCCTCATTGCCGGCACCTTCATTTGCAAGAGGGACTGGACCATCTACGCCGCCATTGTAGCTGTCCTGTTCGGCGCATACAACCTGTACGCTCTCCGTGAGTATTTCCCAACCGATCCTCGAGTCTTGTCGGGTCTCTCGTCTAACCACTGCCCCGCCAGGAATCGTACCTGTCCTCAAGCCCGACACGTTCCAGGAGTTTGAGCTCGCAGAGAAGACAGTCATCTCCCACAATGTAGCCATGTGAGTGAATTTACCTGCCAGCCTGCCCAATTCTTCCGTTCGGGAGGCATTGCGATCCTCGAATCCAGAGACTGACCTGGCCAACCTGCCTCCAGCTACCGATTCAAGCTTCCCGCAAAGACCTCGATCCTCGGCCTCCCCATCGGCCAGCACATCTCCATCGGCGCCCCGATCGAGCAGCCCGACGGCACCACCAAGGAAATCGTCCGCTCCTACACCCCCATCTCCGGAGACCACCAGCCCGGCTACTTCGACCTCCTCATCAAGTCCTACCCCCAGGGCAACATCTCCAAGCACATGGCCTCCCTCATCGTCGGCCAGAGCATCCGCGTCCGCGGCCCCAAGGGCGCATTCGTCTACACCCCCAACATGGTCCGCCACTTCGGCATGATCGCTGGCGGCACCGGCATCACCCCCATGCTCCAGGTCATCCGCGCCATCGTCCGCGGCCGCGACAAGGGCGACCGCACCGAGGTCGACCTCATCTTCGCCAACGTCACCGCCCAGGATATCCTCCTCCAGGAGGACCTCGACTCCTTGACCAAGGAGGACGCCGGCATCCGCGTGCACTACGTTCTCGACAAGCCCCCCGAGGGCTGGACCGGCGGTGTCGGCTATGTCACCGCCGACATGATCACCGTGAGTGAAACCCCCACTTTCCCTCGTTCTTGCGAACCGGGGCTCCATTTACCCAGAATCGTATGATTAACCCTTCTTTAGAAATGGCTCCCCAAGCCCGCCGACGACGTCAAGGTTCTTCTCTGTGGTCCCCCTCCCATGATCAGCGGTCTGAAGAAGACCACCGAGAGCCTGGGCTTCAAGAAGGCCCGCCCCGTCAGCAAGCTGGAGGATCAGGTCTTCGCCTTCTAAGCCTGAAACGCAGAACGGAATACCCCGGGGGATTAATGTCAGATCCTCCGATGTATGTTAGATGATAGTGTGGGAATGAAAAATCATGAGCAGAGCACTGTTATGTGAGGGATTCTTCCAAATAGAGATCAAAATAAGCGATTCTCTTACACGGTGATGACGAGAAATACTGGGTAATTGATATATGAACGAACTTGCTTCTTCTTCTCTTTTCCTTTGTGTTTGGAATTAAGGTTTCATTTGGCATCATCTCATGCTGAGACGTTGCGAGGCTGAGACCTCTCAAGAGAGATTACGAACAATTCGAATGGTTTCTTTAAAGGACAAGTCGTGAACTTGGGTATTGCAACCAGACAAAAGTGTTTTTAAAAGGGCCTATATTCATTGGAAGGCTAGAAAAGACAACAACATGACCTTGGATAGTTTTATAACCCCTTTCCTAATCGAACGCGGTATGTAGAAAATGGCGATAGATGAGAAGAAAAAAACAAGATAGAAATCGTCCAGAATTACCCAATCAATCAAATCATTCGTCACTATCGTCAACGTCCATGTCCGAGTCGGCAGCCTTTGCACCCCTCCCTCTGGCTCGTGTTGACCTGGAGCCCTTCCGCGCCTCGGCTGCTGGTTTTGTCTTCTTCTTAGCCACAGCTCGGCGCGCAGAAGGCTGTTCTTCCTCTTCCTCTTCTTCCGCTTCCTCGTTATCTGAGTTATTCTCGTCCTTGTCTTCTTCGGCCTCATGGCCGTTCTCGTCATGCTCGTCTTCAGACTCTTCTGCCACGTCACTGTTTGAACCATAGTCCCATTCGGCGACACCATCCAGCATCTCCTCCTCGTCCTCTTCATCATCTCTTTCCCTGTAGTTTGATGACACATGTGCGCGACCACTCCGCCTGCGCTCAGACAGCGGCACCGGCGATGAGGAGACGTTGGGGTTTTTGGTTGGCTTGCGCTTGGGTGTCTTCTTCTTTGCGCTCGTCTTGGCTGGTTTAGGCTTCCCTCGAATGACGGTTTTGATTTGGTTCCTTGGTCTCTTCGCAGGGTGATCCGCCGACTCATGAAGAGACTTCCTCTTCTGCAAATACGACGGAAAGAATGTCAGCATAGTTCTTGTACATCAAGGGGGAAATCAAACATTGGTTCATCTTACCTTCTTGCGCTCCTGAGCTCTGATTAAATCATCAAGCTTCTCATCAATTTCGTCCGGAATATACAGCTTCTTTGCAATCTGTTGTGCAACCTCGCTCGATGGCAAAGCTGTGTAGATGCCTGTTGGCAGCCCGACTTTGTCCGGCCAAGCCTGGAAGCTCCAATTGCGTTTTTCCTGGTATTTACGAATCACGGCCTGGGCCAAGTCGCTGAGAACGTAGAGGTTTTCGCTCTTCTCTGGATCGAGAGCATCACGAGTCTGCTTTACGCGCTCTGCGTACTTGTATATGTGAGAGATGTTGCTCTCCTCCGCAACCGTGCCCAGATAAAAGAGGATGTACTTTGCAAAATCGACAAGATCCTCTTGTTCGGAACTATAGTCCGGGTGATGCGCTAAAAGAGGTATCAGCCTGCCCATCATAGCTTCCAGAATAGGCTTCTTGTTCTCCGAGTAAAAGTGTGCACGAGACCGAATCCAGGTCTCGACTCTGTTCTTGACGTCCGTCACAGGCTCAAAGGCGACTAGGAAGAGGATAGTGTAGAAACGCGCTCGTAGTTTGCCTCTGG